CTACAGTTCCCACAAAACAGCAGGTGATGTGAGGGCATGCTGGAACATCACAGTAGTATTCCATCTGCTCCCTGATCCCTGCCACAGCATTCAGAAGTGGATCTGCGGGAGGGAGGCCAGGTATGTGTGTGGGCAGTGGCACACTGAAATGCGTCAGGCGCCATCTTAACTTAGGCCTCAAGCACAAGTGTTTTTTTTTTTTAACCCCTGCAGTGACATTCCTGTATATGACGACCCCCAATTTTACACTAACATATTTTAGAAAAAACCATAGTCTTGTACATATGGAAAAATGCGATATGTGTGTTCGTGTGCACATGCACTGTTATTAATCAAGCTAATTCATACAGTACTTTTTGAATTGCCCATCTAATTAGATAAAGACCTGCGTTCTCCCCAGGGGAGGCTGTTCTATTAACCATGCCAGAATTGCTACAGGGCAAAGATTTATGACAGAGCTGTGACAGCAGTTAAAGTTCTGGCTGGTAATGTGACCATCACAAGTTTTGATTCACGTACTATTTTTAGTGGTCCTTTTAGAAATACAATTGTCATTGACTGAGGGTTTCAGAACTTTAAAATCAGACCTCCTTTTATACTACATAATAAATAAAAAAAAATTTTTTTATACATATACTGTATATATTATGAATTTGTTGACCTATTCACAGGCTTTTTTCAAAATGTTGACACATGAATTTGACTGCCTTCAAATGCAATAAAAACAGCGATTGTGAGGCATGAAAAAGTCTCTTTAATGTTGGTATCCACCACATAAGCTGGAGCTAGCACCCTGGAGTGCTGGACTACTAGGATTTTGTATATGAAATGCAAATGCAGGCCCTTGAAGGAACTGGAATGTATTTTTTATTTAATTTTTTAAATTTTATTTTGCATATGCATAAGGAACCCATTATCTATTTATTGCATTAAAATTATACGTGTGAACTCCAGAGTTTGGAGTGTCCCTTTAATATTTTAATATTTTTTAACACTGATGTAAACCTAGTATTTTAGCTGAGTACTGTATCTTTGCAATAATTCATCTTACTGTTTAAACATTCCTGTAAACCACTATCTTGTCGATGGACAATTATTTAACTTTATTTATTTTATTTTGTAAGAGCTTTAAAAATTCTGTTATTGAAAACATTGTTTCCTCTAATCTTCATAAATATTTATCAGCCAGCTAAATCCCTTTTGACAGTAATTGCAGAGAGGTGTGATTTTAATTCTGGAGGAAAAATATTTATCTTGCATTATGTGACTGTTCATGAAGTTTATGAGGATCGTTTATCTTCGGTCTTCCTGTAAGAGACGCCAATTCAATAATGAAGACACTGTAATAAATTAAAGTGGTACAAACAAATATGTTCTTAACCAACAAGTCACCAAGTTTATTTTTTTGATTTTAATTACATTTTCTACGTTTCCTTTTGTCTTATAAAACTGATCAAAACGCAGTGAAGAAATCATATAAACTATTTTCGTTATATTTTATTTGTTCTTTTATCTAATGAGCATTGTAAGATCATGTAGATCCACGCCCATCTCATTGCACAGACCAGTAAACAAGTTTCACGTTAGTATATTATTTAAGCCAGGTGGGGTCCAAAGGTCCCCAACAACTATAAATGCCACTACCCTTGATTTAAAAAGAACACTGTCACTTCCTAATATGATGATTATTTATCCCTGTATTAAATAGATACGTGCTTGCAAAGTGTAAAAATGCTAATTAAATGTAGAAATCCATACACCTCAACCTTGCAACTGGGTGTCTCCATCTTAGCTCCCTGTCAGTCATTGTTATAAGCTATGTTGCTTGCACATGGCAATCTGCATAGAAAAAGCTTACAGAGAAGAGGAGAAATGAAATAACGTTTCTGTTTCTTCTCGTTATATGCAGTGTTTGCCCTGGCTTTGCCTTGTCTGAACTGGATAATGATATAATTTGCTAAATCTTTAATATAAATTAAAAAGAAATATGAGCTTCTTATGAAAAAAGGGTGAAAAAAAAGATTAAAGTAGCACTGTCCTGACAGTGACATCGCTGCAGGGGGACCGGTGGCCGGGGGAGGGGGCGGTAAAAGGTGAATTTACTTACCTGAACCTTTCCTTCACAGTGCCGCCATCTTGATCTGGTTGGTTTTCTATGGAGACAATGTCATTGCTACAGCAATTGACGGTACAGCATTGAGATCTATGAAGTATCTCAGTGAAAGTGTGTGTGTCTGTCATTGAGAGTGTGTCTGCCAGTAAGTGTGTGTGTCTGTCAGTGTGTATATGTGTTTGCATATGAATCAGTGTGTATCTCTGTGTGTCAGTGTGTGTATCTGTGTTTGTATGTGTTTCAGTGTGTATGTGCAGGGCAGTGTATGTGCACCCAGCAATCAAACACCAACTGTACATACAAATGCATCAAAACACAAAGACAAGTACACTACTGCTTTTAAATAGCAACAGTACATACAAACATAGAACTGCATTCAAATGCCAACACTAATACATAAATACAGTACATTCAATCACACAAAACATGCTTAACTCCTTATTGTACCCTGTACATCCGCTGCCAAAATGAGCGCTTGATGCCGCTCTAAGGGTATTACACGGTGCCTCGATGTCAAGGCATCGTGGAATACCCCCTTACTGCCGGGCACCCGAGTAGTGAAGTGCAGAGCATCAGAAGCCTTCAGGCAGGCTTCCGATGCTCTGCCTGTACGGAGTATTTAAATTTAATTAATTTTAAATTAACCCCTACCCTCCCTCCCCATGTACTTAACGATCGCTGCTGTTCCCCTACCGGCGATCGCTCTTCTTCTGAGGGGGACTGTCTGGGCTCATTTCTGGGCTGCTATTTGGTCTCAAAGGCAACATAGGCCCAGCAAACCAATCTGGCAAATTTCAATGTGCAAACATGGAAAAGGTGAAAGTCCTTCATTTGACCCCTGTAAGTAAGTAAACACCCATAAAACCTGTACATTGGGGGCACTCTTGTACTCGGGAGATATTGCTGAACACATATTAGGGTGTTCTTTGTCAGTAACACATAACAGGAACTGAGAATCCATGCCTAAAGTACAATGTGAGAGAAAAATAACACAAAAACAATTACTACCCAAAAGTTTGACAAAGACTGGTGGTAGAATCAGTGCATGGAAAGTGTTAAAATACCACCATTTAAAATACCCTAGGGTGTCTACTTTTCAAAAATATATGGTTTGATGGGGGTAAATTACATTGTCTGGCTTCAAAAATTTCCCAAATAGGACATGGGTGCATGATGACTAGCTGTGAAAATTCCAAGTTGGAAAACTGGAACACGCACCCTCCAAATAAGGTATTTTCGCCCCCAGAGAACCCGATACACCTATACATGGGGGTGGTATCACTGTACTCAGGAGATGTTGCTGAACACATATTGGGGTGTTCTTTGGCAGTAATCCTTAAAGTTATCCATACATGTTTTCTTAAATTGCTAGGTGTGCAAAAAAAAAAATTCAGAATTTTTTTTTTCTTTTCATTTGACATAGCTTGGTGGTAAAATGGTTGCATGGATAGAGTCAAAATACCCCAAGTCTTATGCCTTAGGTTGTCTTATTAGAAAAAATATATACATGTGAAGAGTTATGCAGGGATTCCTGACAGATATTAGTGTTACAATGTAACTTGCTTTAATTTTGAAAAAAAATGTTTTGGAAATAGCAAAGTGCTACTTGTACTTATTGCCCTATAAGTTTTCAAATAAAGCTAAGAACATGTTAACATTGGGTATTTCCAAACTCAGGACAAAATTTAGAAACTATTTAGCATGGGTGTTTTTTGCTGGTTGTAGATGTGTAACAGATTATGGGGGTCAAAGTTTGAAAAGGTGTTTTTTTTTACATTTTTTTCATCATATTTTATAATTACTTTTTATAGTAAATTATGATATGATGAAAATAATGGTATATAATATGTGTGGGTACAGTAACTGAGTAAGAGGAAAATTACAACTAAACACAAACACCGCACAAATGTAAAAACAGCCCTGGTCCCAATCGGTAAGAAAATTGAAAAGTGGTCTGGTCACTGAGGGGTTAAATTTGTCACCAGTTATTTTTTTTTCTCTTGCATTAAGAAGTTTTTGTTTATTCATAAAAAATTTAATATACTTTATCAACAAATATAATAGTTTTTACATGTGCTGAATTAGCCTTACAACCAGAGGGACAGGGTGGATGGGAGCTCAAAATGTAGTTTTGTCTTAGGCAACCATAGCTCTGGTTACGCCACTGTGGGCACCTATCATGCCCTAAACATCTTATGCTGATTAGATTGATAAGATTTGAACTATACTTTGTGCTCACGGTTTTGCTAGCAAATGTATAGATTAGGAGGATAGATTTTTCTCCCAGCTGTCAATCAATGCCTCAGTGTGTCTAAAAACAGTCAAGAACTCCTCCCGTAGCTTCT